TTTGACTGGTCTCCAAGGGAAAAAAAGCATCGATAAATGTAAAAGGGTTCATTTTTCACTCATCCAATTTGTTTGTCTCTCAATTGCTCACTTTTTTCGTCCTCTTTTTTTCGCTGCTACTGTCTCCCTCCCGAGGCCGGGCGCCCAGAGACACACTCGACGAGGCTTGCCAGACTGACGTGTGACGCGAAGACAAGACCGTTCTCGCCGATGACCGACCGGCGGCTTTTAGATGGTGTCGACTGCTCGACGCCTTGACGAACCGTCGCGGCGTTTCGCGTTCCCGGCCAGACTCCGCGAGGTGTCGCATCTCGGCGACTTCGGTTTCGGCCTCAGCTGAGCTTGGTCGCCCTAGAGACAAAAGCAAGAGACAGAAGTTGAAGACAGTATCATTTTGACTAAAGTAAATGGGACGCACTCACGCACACATGCAGCCAGACAGACATATAGAGGGAGAGCAAGATGGAAGAAGACAGACACAATTGAGGTTTATCACAATCATCAAAATTGTGGGAAAATTCTTTTGTTGTAAAGACATTGTCTGACCTCATTTCGCGACTTGGCCTGAGTTTCAAACAGACCTACATTTACCAAGTTCACGGTCACACGCTGGAAATTATCATGGCTACTATGGAATGGGACTTCGGACAAGGTGAGTCCATCTGACAAGACGACTAAGTTGCGAAAACGAGGCAAAATCACTACCTTAAGTGACCTAGGCTGATCAAGTTCCCATTAAAGAATTAATAAAGACCTCAAAAGTTACTTATATCGAAAATAAGTAGCGTCCTCAATTGCAATTTCCATCGGAGGTCTAGCCCAAAAAGGTGATGCTGGAGGTGTTGACCACCAGACTCCGCCCCGCGCTGGCGACTGCCTAATTCCTTGACTTTTAACGCCCGACACAATGTACTACTTATATTCGTATTAAGTATGTAGGTGTAATCGATTATCCCATTACAAGAAATATGTGAAATTCCTAAAAATACCTTCTTCCCTGTGACCCAGGAGCATGCGAGGCAATGCGATATGGGGGCAATATATCGAACCTACACGCTGCACTGCCAGAACCAAGGTTTGATTTGCCTTGGAGGTAGCGATGAGGACGAAATTGCCGTCAATCTTGGAGGAGTATACCTTTTGGGAAGCAATAATTTATGAATTCCCGTGTAAATCTACAGCCTATGAGTTAATTTAGGTCGCCCTGAAAACATGACCAAGCAGTGAAAATAGGTAGAACTATTTCTTATACAGCGAACACATCACATTGATCTTCTTATTTACGAAGAACTTGTCGACCAAAATTTTTATTTTAGAATTACTTAGTCTTGAAAACTACTTAAGTCGAAAGTAAGTAACGATTTCGATTGTAATTGTAAAAAAATGTTTACCTCATCGGCAGTCATATAAAAAATGTGTTCTTTTGAGATGGCTTGACTTGCCTTGAATGTCACATTTATTTTGTGACCCACTAGTAACCATGATCGCAATATGACAAGAGGTAACTATCGTTCTAATAAACGTTGAC